CATAGAATATTACTATACAGGACAAAAAACTGCTAAAGAGCTTGATAGTCAATATTTGTTAGGACCATTCTTCAACACAGTCTGAGTTTTCTTAGGCAAGCTTTCCTGTTATTTCCTCAAGTAGTCTTCAGGAATAATTCTCTGGGCTTCAGAGCTCTTCTTTGGATGTTTGCGGCTTGTGTTTCATTCTCTGTAAGATCATCTCAAACTGCTTCATTGATGTTGAGGTCTGGGCCATGACTGATAGTGTTCCATTGTGTCTTTTATCCAGGTATTTTTTTTTATTGCATTGGTAATAATTTGGATGCATTGCTCAATAAGACCTGTTACCACTGATTTTAAGCTAAGTTCTTGTGCATACCTCAAATTAAATGTTCTCCCTGTTTGCTTTCCTAATCATTGGCTTCTTGACAGCCATCGATTGTTTTTGCCTAAATATACAATTTAGCTGCTTCTTTTCTCTGTTGTATGTTGTACAACACTGGCTCTTCTCTTCAGTTAGGTGCCTTTTGTGCTTAAATTACTAATTAAAATGGTTTGTTAGACAGAAAAGGCATAAAATGTTACAGAATCATCTGGCACTTTTTCATATTCATTAGAATATTCGGGGTCTAGATACTTGGTGCGATGAAAATTGACATTCAATGGCATCTTATTTCTCTGTGTGATGTTATGATCTTCAATTTCTCAAAGCTTTCTGATGTTCCCATAATCAAAAGCTTGGTAAAATAATTGATTCTCCACTTCCACTTCATATCTGCTCACACACATTATAGTGTGTTACATATTGCTACATGTTCACACGTGCTTATGGTTGCCAAATATAGGAACTAATTTATTCAGTGCAAATTTAAAATGGATGTCCAATAAATCCGCAGCCTGTGTGCAATTTATAGATCTGTGCCAGCAGTGCACCGACATCTGTCCCGTTCTTCTGACACGCAGTATTTTGAGGACCTTCACTATGACCTCAGCTCAATCCCCTTTCCTGGGAATGACATCAGACTCTTATCAGTCCACGCACACATCTGTCTGCGCTGCACTTCACCTCCCTGCATGTGAGTGCAGACTCGCTGCACCACTGAAGATTTGTTTTTCCCCTGATTTCACATTAAAATTCAAGATCAAATATGCCTCATCTCCGAGTTTGTCTGTTATGAAGGCAGCTGTGAGTGTGTGTGGAGGCAGCTTCCTATTTTAGATGCATCCCCTCAGCATTGTCATTCATGTCGGGGTTGTCATGACGACTCAGGAGGCAGGCCGGTGAGTCTACCTCAATTTTTCAGTGGAGTTTCAGATGACTATTTATAGACGCACCGTTTCCCTCCTCTGTCTGGGTCTTCTGCTGACACAAACATCAAAACGGTCTCCCACTGCGTCAGTCGTTTGTTTCCAACTTTATTCTTCGTATTTATGCAATATGTACACATGTACACTGTTATAAAATCTGTAGTGCTACCAATGTAGCATAGAAATGGACGAGTTTTTATAATTACAATTATCAGGCAAAAAAAAAACATTTAAAAAAAAGGTGAGGAGATGGTGTGTAAACAGAGGGCCAGAGTGCACGGACTCAAAGATCAACTAGTCTATTCAGGTTTTGATGATGTTGTTGACTCAGGCATATAGAGCAGGTAAAATATCCCCAAGTCCATTAACTAGATCCTGTATTTTAATCAGAAGAGTGAAAAGAGGGCAAAAACTTAAAGGCAATATTTATCTGGTAAACACTTGGAATTATTTTTGTTTCTTTGGAATTTCAGAAATACCCACACTGAACAACATATCCTAAAATTAGCATTGTTTGTACTAAGAAATCAAAGTAGGACTTAAATGGAATTCATTAGAAAAGGGGTCAGGATTAATCCAAGATGAATCATCAGGACCTACGATTTGGTGGGAATGTTATATCAAATCCCTTTCACTTGAAACCAATGTGAAAAAGCCTGTTCCGATGTTATAAAATGTTTCTGGACCCATACAAAGAACAGTACTGCATGTGTTGAGAGGAAGTTACTGGAGAACTCTTTGTCTGTCTTGTAAGGCAAGACTAAGGTGCGCCTGCAAGAAGGCATGAATATGTTAAAACGTAACATCTAAAACCCGTGGAATCAAAAAAAGAAACTAAGCAGTAAGTGATGAACATAAAATGAGTAGTTTGATACTTTGGGAAAAACGCTGTTAGAGTTAGAGCGATACCACTCTCATATACGAATCCCCCTCCCCCAGTAATGCCACAACCTGTTATTTGTAGGGTTTGTACAGATTTCACTAACACAAAATGGTAATTGTTGAGCTTTTAGAGGTGCTGGTAGGTGGTTTTTACCTTCAGAGAAACTGTTCACGTGAGCTCTTTCCTCCTGTCTATTTGTGCTAAGCTAACCTGCTGTTGGCTCTACACTCCTACAGATATGAGAGTGGTATCAAGTTTTTCACCTGCTAAAAATCAATGCAGTCTGATACAACAGTGCTGCATTTATGAAGAGTATAGTATTCAGTTATTTTTTTTTAAATCAAACAGTCATTGATTCAACTTTATGATTATTCTCAAATCTGTGATTTATGCTTACTAAAGTACTGAAAGCTGTTAAGCTTCTTAGAGATGCTACGCTTGGCTGATCCCTTATTCACAGTGGGTAGGTTTGGTAGAGTTTTTACACTGGATTTTCTTCTTGACACAACCCCAAAAGGGATTTGTGTCTGCTGTTTTGTCCAGTCTACCAATCAAAGTTGTCTCCTTGTGGACCCCTTGATCACTTCAAGAACTGCTGCTATTTTAAGAGTATTTTTGACTATTTGTAGTAGGACATTTATAGATGGTACAGGCCACCATTCAGGTCCTCTCCCCACAAATGTGTGCTTCAGAACATTCGTAAAACAGCCTGGTCCTGGTGGATAAACTGACAACTCTGTGAATCTTGAAAATATGAAGACAAAAACGAGCATGGTCCTGACCTAAGGCACTGTCACTGGGGTTGGACTCTGTTTGGTTGCTTGGTTGTAGCCTGAAAGCTAATTAACACGATGAGTTACAATCATGATAAACCTTAAAGCTGATCTGTTTAAAACAGAAGCTCTTTTGAGGTTTGTGGTTAAATCAGCACAAATGTGCAAGGTCTCAAGTGACCTAAAAACAGGAGCAGCTCTGAAAGCAGTCCAGAGGTGTACAAGCAGACTAATTAGAAAAGGAGTAGTTTCTATAGTTTTCAATGTAATTATGGGAAGTGTTATGGCTAACACAGAGAGACAGACAACCATTTGCGCTCACACTTATGGGCAATTTGGATTAATCAATTAACCTATCCCCACAAACTGCATGTCTTTGGACTGTGGGAGGAAGCCGGAGTACCTGGAGG